GGCAAGAGAGTTCTTTTTTGACTGTTTGCTGGAAGTGGCTGTAAAAGGACAAAAGAGAAATGCACCATTAACTCGACGAAATGCAAAATATAAAATATAAAAAGACAGATCCACCTGATTGTAAATATTAACATATACAGTTGGTCTAATAACATATGCTATTATAAAAATAGTATATAATGAAACATTAGTATCATTATATATTTTAACAGCATATACACTGTATTTTTGTAATTTGAACAGTATTATACTGTAATATGTACAGTAAGATACTGTAAAATGTGTATACAGTATTTTACTGTAAACCACAAAGGATTATGGGAAAATATACGGTCACTACTGTATTACAGTAAAGACATTATTGTACTGTAAATGCGATTACAGTACTTATACTGTAAATGAAAATACGGTAATAATACTGGAAATAAAATACAGTAAAGACATTATTGTACTGTAAATTAAATTACAGTACTGATACTGTAAATGAAAATACGGTAAAGACATTATTGTACTGTAAATGCAATTACATTACAGTACTGATACTGTAAATGAAAATATGGTAATAATACTGTAAATAAAATACAGTAAAGACATTATTGTACTGTAAATGCAATTACAGTACTGATACTGTAAATGAAAATACGGTAATAATACTGTAAATAAAATACAGTAAAGACATTATTGTACTGTAAATGCAATTACAGTACTAATACTGTAAACATTTTTACAGTAAATTACTGGCATCCAGCTGCCAGTAAGTTACTATAAAATTTACAGCAACCTATTTACAGTGTAGTTTCTTAGTTTTCAGAAGATGTAGCACCTTCACAGGACGCGTTCTCTTTGTCTTTGGATAGGTGCTTGACTCCAAACGCAGACGTGTGTCCTAACATCATCGAGGTCAGCTCCAGGATTTCAGATATAATGATGAAGTTTGTGGACAATCTCTGTGCATCCTATAATTCACTGGAGAGAAGAGCGGAACGAGACAGGAAGAGAGCACAGAAGTACTTCCTGGAGAGTAACAGGACCAGGATGTGCGGCCCACTGCAGCCGGTTAGATCAGAAAACTACATTATAACCTGTCTGTCAGCTAATAATACTGTTTTTGATTCAGAGCGTTGGCCTCAAAGAACAAGATGGATCACAGGCTCAGAGTTAGGAAACTTCTGCATCTGTTTCAGCAAGTGGAGCAGAACAAAAGCAAAGCCAAGGTGACAGAGTTGACCTCTAATACACTCTACAAAAACATTTGAATGCAAATGCCTTTGGCATTTGATTAATTACAGGTATTGTTGTATGTGAACTGTGTTAGAGCACATTCAAAATGCAATGCAAATGTGTAAACACAAATACTTCTAGCCATGCAAGTTGAAAGTTAAATCTGGTTTAATGGCACATATATTAGAAGTAAAGCTCCCTCTTGTGTACTGAGGTTTGTTAGAAGATTGAACATGTGTAAAAGTATGTTTCTCAGCAAAGATTTTTTTTTTAGGACTAAACAGTGTATGGCACATATAAAACTCTTCAGCATGATCTCTTGAAAAGTTATTTCAGTCATTTATGTACTACTTGTTAAATAAGGAGGATACTTAATTTGCTACATTAAGATTTGTTTTTCCATTCTTAATGTGTAGAAATGTCTGGGAATGTCAGCGTGAAATCTTCCGGTGAGTTTATGCTCTTTCTGTCTTTTTTATTTTTACACGATTAAAGAAATGGCATTAATAATTCAATGTTATTTATTCATGATTTGTATTATTTTATTTTATTTTAAATGGGTTCTCATGCAAAAGCTGTAAAATTCTTTCTGTTTTGTATTTTGCAGTGCGGATTGCCAAAAAGCAAATGCACGACCAGGTAAAAAGTTTTACTAATGTGCACAAATATGATATACTCTGAATTTGATTTTGACTCATTTATATAGGTTATAAAAAAGTAACAGTGTCCTCACACTTAAGGTTAAATACCTAAAAATACCAGAGATTTTCTTTTGTTTCACTCGTGTTTGTCACACGTTCACAGCATCGGCGGGAATCTGTTTATGACAAATTATTTGACAAATTCATGATCCCAACCAAAGGCTTCTTGAACTTCTGCATAAGATTATATTTAGAACTTGGGTAATTTAGAGTCTGTTTTCAGGCCTTTTCTGCCTGAAAAGGCGTCTCTTTTTTATTCATATCTGTGACCCTGGACCACAAAACCAGTCATAAGGGTCAATTTTTTTAATTAATAAATAAGCTTTCCATTGATGCATGGTTTGTTATGATAGGACAATATTTGACCGAGATACAACTATTTGAAAATCTGGAATCTGAGGGTGCAAAAAAATCTAAATATTGAGAAAATCATCTTTAAAGTTGTCCAAATGAAGTTCTTAGCAATGCATATTACTAATCAAAAATTAAGTTTTGATATATTTACAGCAAGAAAATGTATATCTTCATAGAACATGATCTTTGTTTAATATCCTAATGATTTTTAGCATAAAAGAAAAATCGATAATTTTGACCCATACAATGTATTTTTGGCTATTGCTACAAATATCCCCCAGCGACTTAACACTGCTTTTGTGCTCCAGGGTCACATTTGATGTTTTTAGCTCCCTCCAGCTCCACAAAACAGCTTCAAGCAGCGGGCAGTCGGACACTTCAAGAAACCTCTGTTCACGTACGGAAGTGATCCATACAATCTGAAGGTGGAGCTCAATAAGGTACTCTCTCTGTTTAATGCAACAACAATCATTTTTTGTTTGTCGTCATGTACTAATACTGACACTAAGTGGCATGGAAGCCCCATCATGCAAAAGCCATAGCTTCAGTTACAGTACCAAATCTTCATTTTTGGTCATATATATATATATATATATATATATATATATATATATATATATATATATATATATATATATATATATATATATATATATATATGTAGTACATTTTGAACTTTCATGAATTATTGCATGAATCATTTTAATACTGATTTCTGTCATTTGAACAATTAAACAATTAATGTAATGATACTTACTGACATTTGTGCTGCTGTTTTCCCTCCAAAATGATCTTACTTACTGAAGGATGATGGGATGATGTAATGACCTTTATTAGTTAAAACAAATTAAAAAGACCAGAATGACAATGGTACTAAGGACACATGAAAGTTGATTAACAGTTCAATTATAATGGCCAAGAAAACATGCCTAGTTTGAAACATTTGAATTATAATGTCACTTCCTGGAGGATGACGTCAGTAAAGAAGTGACTTTTGTTAAAATAAATTAAAATCATAGGGAATATTATTTAATTAATCTGCTACTTCTGTTAGCTAAAGTGACTATAATTGTAAATATAGGGAAAATAACATTTTGTTTTTAATTTTAAAGTCAATGTCTTGTTTCTGTCAAAATCTGTGAAATGTTACTACTTGTAAAAATTTAATGTTTTTTTATTAAACCTTATTTCTAACTTTTGATTTGTTATTATTATTATTAATAATAATAATAATTATTATTTTTATTTATTATTATACGTTTCGTTATGTACCCCCTTGCTGTATTTGTAATTCTTTAAAATCAATAAAAAATATTGAGGACACGTGAAGAGTTGATTATCAGTTAAATTAATATGCATAAAAAAACATGCTTACTTAAAAAATATTTATTGAAAGGAAAAATTATGAAACATCTGGAAAATGTATGAATAAATTGTTAGTTTTTCATTGTAAAATTTAGTGCAACTCACAGACAAAAATGTTGTGAATGCAATATTTTCTGAAGTATGTCATATAATGTAATGTTTCAGAGTGTGGTGGAGGATGAGCTGGAGGGAAACGGCTATTACAGCAGGTAATGTGGACTGAAGCTGTTTTCTGCTGGATTTCCTCTGAGCTCATTGACTGTCTGTGTCTGTCTGTGTGAGCAGCAGAGGTGACGTGGATTCAGGAGCGGCAACCTACGGTGGCCGAGAAGTGCAAAGCAAATCACAATTCTGAAAACAAAATAACAAATTACAAATGCAAATGCAAGTCTAAAAAACAAAATAACAATTCAGAAAGCACAACAACAATTCAGAAAACATTATAACAAGTCAGAAAACACAATGACAAATCAGACAAACCGGAAAAGGTAGGTATA